TTATAATAATTATAATTTTAATGTTTAAAATTTAAAATGAATTGTAATTATTTTCAATAAAATTGATCTTATTATTAACCAAAAAAGAGTTTTAAAATGAAAATACCACTCATCTGAAATGTCTTCTTAATTCACACATTTTGATCGATTTTGACCCTCAGCCAAAAAAAGGTTGCTGAAACTTGCTTAATGGTATACTTCTTTACCTGAATAGTGAATTTGGTACTTATGTATTAACGCAACCACCTTAGTAGAAGTTTACAAATTTTCAAAATATGGTAAACTCTGACAACCCTGCTCATAACAATCCTTCAATCAAGCAACGCGATCATTTTTATGCGTGTTCTGTTTTGTTGTATTGCTAGTTCCAATGTTATTTTAACCCAGTGTGACAGTGCAACCCTAAAATTTCGAAGTTCCTTAAAATGTCATGAATAAATGGTATCGTCTTGATTATAATAAAAAAAACCCCGTTTTGTATCTTGATTCCTTTTCTTCCAATATACATACAACCCAAAATTGGATACATTAAAAGCTAGCAGAAATTTTCATGAATACGAAAGTCGCACTTCTATATGGAAATTTATGTCTCTGATGCTGAGAGGCTGATAAATGTTTTACCTTAAATATGAGCTTGAGAAATTTCTCAGCAATGGAAGAAACTGCAGTAAAATTTCTGCACGAACACAGAATTTTTCTGAAAAGTTTCTAAAAGGAACAACAAGGAAATGCGTTTTGTAGATAGCCAATGCTGCTAAGATTTGCATAAAGCTGAGTCTTCGCAGTTCTTCGATTCTTTCTTAAGTAAAAACAGATCACTGCGTACTTCATAAGAGTAAAAAAAAAAAAAAAAAAAAAAAAAAAAAAAAAAAAAAAAAACAGAAAGATTTAAATAAGAATGTAAGTGTTTCAATGTACAACAAAATTCTTTTCTAATAATTAAAATTTGTATTTTAAAGTGCTAAAGTATGTTTCCTTTTTATACGTTGATAATGTTTATCCGACATACTATATAGTTTAAGAACCTTTCTAAAAAAAAGGGGGGGGGCATGAAAACCACCAGTCTGCATCCGATAAGTAACCTATATTTTCATCTGTAAAAAATCCCCAAATTTTGCCGAGGTGGTAACGTTACTAATAAGTACCACGAATTTCTTATCCCAGATTCTCAATAACTAATTCTTCACTATTACTTAAATGCTTATGTGATACTATGTACATACCATCAACTCCTGTTACCTGCACAAAGTAAAGGCAGCTATTTTGTGCAGTAACTTATGTTTTATTCCAATCACCTTGATGCAGTTTGGCAACCTTTCACAGTAGAAAAAGTATGAAGACTTATAATTGCAAAATAAAAGTACATATATATTTACAGCAAGCATACATGTTATTATACATATTTTTACCCTTGGGTATTTATCTTGAAAATCAATAAACCTACTTTTCTTGTGGCAAACATAAAGCTTTATTTCCGTGACTGTAATGAGTGTAAGTTTAGTGTACTCAGATTTTTTTAAAAAATTTAATTTTTAAATATTGTGTTTGTTTTTAAAAATTACATACATAAATACTCAAGGGTAAAAATATGTATCACATGCAAGTGCAAATTTTGTCACACTGTCATACAGATACAACTCCTACATTAGTGATTTTGCGCAAATTATCGTACTCCTGTACAAATTTTATGACAAATTCTTCCATTGCAGGCAAATCTCAAATATGCATATTTTAAAACTGAATTAAAGACAATATCAACATTTGTCTATAAAAACTGCTGGAACATAGAATGCAATAAATGGAATGCATATGCAAATGATGACATTGCTAGTTAAAACTGAAAAACTGCATGTACAAGATTACCAGTCTGATCCATTCGAAAAATATGGCAAGTTTTTCTAAGATGGTTACAATAATACCTAAGTACCTTTTGTGCATATTTGCACTCAGGACATCTTCAAATGTGTTAGTGAGCAAAGGATGCTTTTAATCCAACTTTGGCACATTAACAATTATGAAAAGTTTACATTAGCATTTCACTATTCCTTACAAATGAAAAAAAAAAAAAAATGTGTTTGGAATAAAAGACTGAAACCGGCTTTTCTAATATAAGATACTCAACTTATCTCTCATTTCATCTAATATGACTGATAACACGAAAAGCTTCAAATCCTGTTGAAAATAATCAAGAATAAAAAAACCCCTTAATCTTATCTGTTAATCTTAGTATTATTTGTTAATTAACCACTGATGCATCTTGTTTAAAAATAATCAACAATAGAAAACCTGGGATTTTTAATCTAAAGCGTTATCTCTAAATTATCATTGATGCAATAGGATATACTTAACCATTCATGTTATCAAGGATAGTTTTCCGTATATAACATATGTTTAGTTTTAATTTTTTATAGAAGATAAAAACCCTTTAACTATATATCAATAATATTAAACATTAAAAGGAAACACAAAAGAAAAAGCTGCTTTTATTCATGACAGTTATCTTTTCAGAAAATTTTATCGAGTTATAAATCATTAAATGAGGTTAAATAACGTAAAAGATGAACAACCATATAACAGAATTCCTTAACACAGATATACTTAAAACTAAATATTATTATGAATATTACTATTAATTAATTGGTTCACAAAATAAAGATGAAAAATGATATTGGTTATATTTCAACATTTCCACTACACTAGAAACATAGCTGTAAATGATTTCTAAAATGCATAATTCCATAAAAGTCATAAAATACATTACTACTTCCCACTTTGAAATTCTTAAATGTAATAAAAACATTAAGTTACAATAATTAAATAACTTTGAGAAATGCTATCATAAAGATAACTATAATCTTATATATAAGATAAAAACAGTAGTAATTTCTGCAGAGTTTCCGATTTTTTTTTTATTCCATTTAAAATACTCTTGTAATACTGAAAAATCTCACCTTTAATAAAAATTTAAGGAACAAAATATAAAAGATCAAATTGCGTGACCACTTTTTACCATTTACAATGTTTAGCCATTAAACTTATGTTTTCAAATCTAAGCACGTCAAACAGTAAAGATTTCTTTACAAGAACACAATTTTAATTATCAAGATTTAAAAAAAAAAATCTGCTAATTAATTACTGTTATCTCCATTCCACTATCTACATTCTCTTCAACTGCACTGAATCAAAAATTGTCAAAAGTCTCTTAATTACAAGAATTTTATTTCATCTAAAATATTAAAAACTTTTAATTTCTTTATCCTAGAAGTACAACATTTCATTAACACAGAATAACCTAAATCAGAGAATTGCACACCAGAATTTAAAAATTCGGTAAGCTTAATAACTCTCAACTAAGAACAGTATTTACCATTCCAAAAGGTATATTTCCAGATAAGTAAGAAGTTATACTAGTCCTTATGTTCTCCTTGTACTACACTAACTTTTAAGTTATGAATACAAAGATACCTTTCAGAAAAAGCAAATTTAACTTATTTGCCATTTTTTAAACTCAACATTAAATATACTAGAATTTCTTTTATAAGCATTAAATCAAAAACTCAATATTTTGAAAATGGTAATACTGTTATGCTGCAAAGTAAATATAATCATTAACTATGAAGATCATAGCATTTTTGATTTCATAAAACTGGAATAGATTTGACATAGAATTTTTAATTTCCTAAATTATATTTGTATATCACTGTTAAAATGTTTGAAGAAAATATAATAATATTACTATAGGAACATTATTAAGAAAATGAAATCTACATGAATTCATAATCAGCATACTGCATAAATTCAGCATATTAAGATATACACAAAATACTGGAATAATATATTTTTATCAATTGTCTAAAATATTTCCATTTTAATCCATATCAGCATTTCATTTCTCATTTGTAACTGCTTTTTCTTATTTATAAATATATTTCTCATAGTAAGGTACATTTTATAAATTTAATGATGCAGTATGGAAACAAGAGGGCCAAATTTTCAGCTCAATATTAAAAAGAAAGAAGAAATATGCTTCCTTGAAAAAGGTTTCAAATTGCACTGCTATTAGAAAATATGAAATTTTTTTAAAAATATTTCAACAGGATAATATTTGTTTACTACCAAGCTAAAAATTTACATTTTGGGTTCTCGTGGCATCAAAGAATATTTATTTCAAAGTACATAAAGAAATAAGGAAAAAATTATTTATCTTAACTAAAAAGAAATGTTTTGCATATTTCAACATTTTTCATACTAAGCCTGATACACGCTAGTTTATGCTTCCTTTCTAGTGTATGGTAGCTTCTTTTAAATTAGATTTATTAGCAGAATTTATGTAATATCATATTTCATTTATTATCTATACATATGTTATATTATGAATGAAGATTCATAGTATAACTTCTCTTACATTCTGCATTATATTTGTTTTTCAATATGTTCACTGTTAAATACAGTGAAACTACCAATTGAAAGTACATTTGTAACATCTACAATTAAAAACAAACTTGAAAGCCAAAAACCTAAAAGGAAAGTCTCTCTCAACATTCAAATGTTTCATACTTTGATGCATCACAAAGTGCATAGGAATATAGATAAAAATTAAAAACTCTATGACATAACATTGGTCAACATACATAAGTAAAACTTCACATAAATTTACTAACATGTTTAATGCACGTATTGAGTTTTGTTTTCTTCAAGTGAATAAAGATTTGCATCAATACTAAATTCCATGATATGTCAAATTTGATGACATTAACGGCTACAGAAAATAAAAAAGGAAGTCATTTAAAAAAAAATAAAGTGCCCAAAAGATCTATCGTCTTACTTAGAAATGGGGGAAAAATTTCGTTTTGCATATGGATAACATGCACAGTCTTTGATGATCAGGAGAAAACATCACGAAAAACTTCGTGTGTTCTTGTGCCGTACATTCTGCTAAATATTAAATTTCAAAGAATATATTGTAAAAAACAATATAAATAAAAGCTAAAATGACTTACCAAACATATAAAGACATCAATAGCATCGTTGATGTATCAACAAATATTCCCTTTCTACGGCACGATAGTCACTTCGAGAAATAAAATCAAAAACATCTAAAAACGCAAATTACTGTACAGTATCTGCCATATTTTGTTGTATGTGACGTCATTCTATATTAGTTTTGATATCATTTTTATATCAGCAACAAAATGTTTCAGTTTTGAAGATTAATTACGGACAAATATATAAAAAAGTAAAAAACTTTCTAATATATTTAAAGTAATATATAATTTTTAATTAGGTGCGGGATATATTAGAAGACAACAACGCCCTCTATGTGAGCGCCAAAGTTGTACGATTGAATTGGAGAAGATATTTTGTTAATGCTGCATTTTTCATAATATTTTTAGAAAAATGGCAGATAAAGATGCCGGTTTGTATATAATTTAATGTCATTCGAAAAATCTTTCGTTAATATGAACATGTTACTAAATGGAATCGAGTATAAAATTATCCTTTTATGTTTTTATTTTGTGTATTTCTTAGGGTTAAGGTTTAATCTTCGTTAGTTTTGCTTTGTACGATTTTCTTCTGTGACAAGCAGTATTATGAATTAACTCATTTCTTTTATCTTTTTCTGCGATAAGTCGTCAGTGCTTTACTGATCTCTATAAAAAAGATATATATTAATGTGAAATTAGTCAAAAGAGGTTGTCTTAGAAGATTGACCGAGACCTTGTATTAGCAAAAGCTTTTTGTGAATTTTGCATTAGTTTATTTATTTACTTGATTTTACGCAGATGTTATTGATGCTAGTGAAGTGAGAACATAGCTTAGTATCATTTTTGTTGCCTACTCTGTAAGTCTTGTTGTTTGGAATAAAATATGGGATCATAAGCAAAGTGTAATTTAGAATGTCTGATGTTCTGTTTATTGTACTGGATCACTAATAAAAGACAACCACTTTGTTTTGAGGGTTGTATTTTTGTTATATAAATGACTTTATATATTCTTCGCCTTTAGTAGAGATATTAACATTAAGTGGCTAGAGAAACGTAGTTATTGAATTTAATATGATTAAGATTTTTAACTGCAAATGTTCATCCTTGGAAAGGGTATATACTTTTTCACGATCAGGTAATTTCATATATGTCCTTTTTACCGAATTTAAAGATTCACAAAATTTTCATGCATATTCGTGAAATTTTTCTAATTTATGAGAAAAAGCAGTGTACATGGATATAGTGAAGAGTGTGCGAAATACCATTTTTGTGCAATTCTGATGTTTTTTTTAAGTAAAAATAAGTCGACGTGTACATGGTTTAATTATATTTTAATTAAATGATAGTTATTTTGTGAATTATATGTTTGTAGCAATTTAGTATACGTTTGAGTGGAAGTAAACGTGCATGGAAATAATTTACATATTTGACACTAAGTATTTGTAACCATTTTTAATGTTTTGTTATGAATTCGTTGGTGGCGTTTATAATAGATAATTTAGAGGTAAAAGTTTTTGGATATTTTATTAATATTATACTTGGAAATGTTCATCCTTGGATAGGGTTATATACTATATGCTTTTTCGCGATCAGGTAATTTCATATATGTGCTTTTTACTGAGTTTAAAGATTCACAAAATTTTCCTGCATTTTCGTGCAAATTTTCGTATTTTATGAGAAAATAGCAGTTTAGATGGAAAGTCAAGAGTGTGCGCAATGCCATTTTTGTGCAATTCTGGGATTTTTTTTTAAGTAAAAATAAGTCGATATGTACATGGTTACTGTGTATGTGCGATTTTGAAAAACGCAGCAAGGAGTTTGCGATTTTGCACTTTTTCCCAAATTTGCAGTTAATATTTGTCATGATTAAGCAGTTTTGTTCCATAAAATTTCTAGCATAAGTGTAATTCGGCTAGCAGATTGTTAGAAAAGTGTTGAGTAAATAAAAAGAAAAGAAACATGTTTTTACTTCGTAAAGACAAAATGCCAGCGAAAAAAAATAGAGGGTTGCTGTAGCAGAGTTGGTCGCCAAAAAATCGCTAAGTTACCATAATCCGAAGATTAACCTCATGTTTTCCTAAATATGGAAATCCGTTTGGTTAATCTTTGGATTATGGTAACTTGGCAATTTTTTGGGGACCAACCCTGCTACAGCAACCTGCTAGTTTTGTTTTGGACACCATTTTGTTTTCACGAAGTAAAGGGCATGTTTTTTTTTTTTTTTTTACTCAATATTTTTTTCCAAAATATTCAGAAAATATTTTTAATTTAAATAAAACCTTACACGATTTCTATTTTTAATTACAGCAAAGTAAATTTACATTAAATTTAAACCACAGGAAATAATTTATAAAATCGCAACACCAGCTTGGGAAGCAAGTGTGTTGAGGTCAGAGAAAAGTCTCTGGAAAAGAAAGACCTTTTTACTGGGCAGTTGCATGTATTGTTTAGTAATAAAATAACTCTGTGATTTCAAAACCCCTTATCTATATCCGGGTAAAAATGAACATCCCGATTTGAGAAGCAAGGAAACGCTATCTTGAAGAGCAGTGGTTTCAAGGCGTGACCACCGAGCCTCTAGAGCATAGTGACACAATGCTCTAGTGGGGCAGTGGTTGCGCCCTGAAACCACAAAGCAGATGCCATACATATAAAGGGTGTTTTTTATATATGCAGTTTAATTACTGCTATTTTTTAGTGTTTATGATAGAACTCGTGATGTGCGATGAATAACTTTTGAAATTGAAAGTTATTTATATTAATAAAAGGAAGTTATTTTGTCTCGTGGAAAACGAATTTTAAAAGGCATCCGATTTGAAGTACTAAGACCTAAAACATGTATGATTATGTAGTCATTTTGTGTTATTTAGAGGTAAAAGATCAGTAAGCAATTGATTTTCACTCAAAAATTTCTGAAGAAAGAGGAGAAAAAAATTTGAAAATTGATGGTTTCAAGGCGCGACAACCACGCGTCAAAGGCTTAATGCTGCTGTGTTTAAAAAAATCATTGCTGCATAAGCAATCACAGCAAAAATAAATCATTGCTTTTATTCTGTATTGAGAGAAGTACGTTTCCATGCTGTATGATTTTTAAAATTTTCTGCTGCGTACCGAAAACATTTTATTCGGTTAGAAAATCTTTTTTATGAATTCTGGTTTTTATTTTTTTATAACTGCATAATTGAGAATTGATTTTAAACAGAGTAACCAGAATTAAAAAATTGATGATATAATCTTTATAGTAGCAAAAATAGCTTTTTAACTCAAATTAAGAATTTTGTTGTGTTCTGAAAATTAGAACAGCAAAATTCTTTTCTACTCTCAATCCATAAACAGTTTTAGAGAAAGAATAAAAAAGGGAACATAGGCAGGATACAGTGAAGAGAAATTTCAAATTACTTACTGAAAATATGTGTAAAATGCTATCAGTTTAGCACAGGTTTGCATAAAAATCTATCATTTAATTTTCCCCATAGAACTACATGATGACCAAAACGCGCAAGGTTAGCAACACCTAACTCTAAATCATTTGAATAACGTACAAAAAATTCGATTGTCAGATACAGTTTCCCCAACTGCAGTCTGTAACCATATTCATCTATTATGTTGTTCAATAAGATATATTGGTAAGATATATTCCCATCATATGTCTTTTATGTTTAAGATAGTTAATATCTATTCTAAAAACAATTTCTCTAGTCTAGAAACAAAATTTTCTTTCATTTATTACTTTGACAATTTAATGGGCTGTACGCATTTTGAAATAATTATACACATAATGTTATAAAAAATTAAGTTATTAATACATATAAAGAAGCGTCTTAGCATAAAGATATTTTCGTTAAATTTTAATTATATTCTTCATAAATAAAACTGCTTATTACAAAGCGAGCCGCGTGTGACTCCCCAGTTTGCTGGAGGAAGTTTTTATGAATTATAAAATTTCTAACCATACCACAACAATTAATGATCAAAACTTATCAGTGAATTGTATTTTCAGTTTAACAGCTTATGGCGAAGCACTATTTGTCTAAATAAAGGATGCCTTAATGGGAGACCTTTTAAGATAAACTGGCTTCCATTCATGTTACACGTGGAGAAAACTATGCAACCAGCTAATTCGAGAGCTTTGCATTTTCTGAAATAATGAAAATTTTAATAAATTGAAATACAGTTTTGGAAACATTGCTTTTGCAAAATGTACAAAAAAGCTAAGTCTATCTTATCCCTTAGAAGCATATGTTTATTAAATTTACTACTCAGTCTTTTGAATTCTTATTATTTCTCATTTTATTGGAATGCTTTGCATAAAACCTTTTTTTTTTTTTTTTTTTTTTGTGTGTGTGTGTACACTCACATTTCTTATATAATTTCTTTTTTCCCCGAGATAAATTAGTTCGATTCAATCTTCCAAAGTTTAGTTTTAGAAATCCCCTTTTTTAAAAACAATTTTCAGTGCCTTTAAAGCTTTAACTGTTCATCAATGCTGATTGCAATTTCTGTGCCTAACGCTGAAATATCATATATGAGTTTGAATTAAAAGGTCAGAATGCAGCTATTTGCCATACGTGTTAAGCTTGTTGATTCATTTACTTTTTAAATAACAATTAGAAGTCATAACACAGATCAGTGAAACATGTTTTCTGCTATAAAATTTAATTTAAATTTAAATTAAATTTTAGAGATAGTCTGTAGGAAGATTCTTTATGTGATATTTAGCAAATAACATTTATGCGTGATTCTAATATATTGTATATGATGACCATTTTTAGAAATAATTTACCTTAATGAAAAAGTCAACATTGTACCATGTTCTGGTTGGATGTGGATGGAATTTAATTTAAATTAAAATGAAAGTACCGTCTTTGAAGGATAAAATTTGAAATCTTTATCGTCTTACCATTTTTTTAAATTGTGTGTCGAAGACAGAAATATCAGTCTAGCTGAATAAACTAATTACTTTAAATACTTATTAAGGAGGGGAGTTATTTATCCTTTAGTTTTCCTTAATTTAATTTGTTTGGATTTTTAAAAAAAATCAGAATTACAAAGAAAAGCATTTTTAGTCTTTCTAATTCAAGTTTATTTCAGTACTTAGTTCTTAAACACGATCAAATCAAAATAAATTGTATTGTATGCTGAGTAATTTCATTTAAAATATGATCGAATGAAAAAAAAAAACATTAAGTAGTCTGTTTTGTGGAAGTTAGTGCTATTAATTAGTATGCTAATTTGGCAAACGGTGGAAAAATTTCATCCAGTTAAAAACATGTGACGTAAGAAAAAGCTGACACCAAAATAAGGCGGGCAAAGTTGTGAGGTCTTGGCTAAGTGGACAGTGTTTATTTACTTGCAACCTACTTCATTTTCCACTTCTGTGGGGGGGGGAATATTTGGACTCAAATTGCACAATTTTCCTGATTTTACCTTGCTGATAAACTTCCACTGGCTAAAAAGATGCCAAACCAAAAAATTAGCATTTTTAGGAGGTTAAACAATTTACAAACTTGCCCTTTAAAGGCTTAAAACAGAAATTTTAGACATAATTAGATTATACTGTGAGAAAAAAGTGGCAGATAAAGTCAATTGTTTAAAAAAAAATCTGTCTGTGGTTTAAAAGTTATCATTTTATTTTTTATTTATTTTTTTTTTTGATAAAAGTTTACAATTGGGTGCCCCTTGTTTCTTGGCGATTCTTTTTTGAGGCCAAGTTCGGCGCCAGGAAGGCACGATTTCAAGGTGGCCGCTACACAAAACAAAAATATTAAGAAGTCAAAGAATTGCACAAACACTGTGTCCATGTACACATCAATCTGTTTTCACTTAAAAAAATCCTAGAATTGCACAAACTAGGCATTGCGCACTGCCTTAAATTTGTCCATGTACACATCAGTCTATTTTCATTAAAATAAAACAAAGGAAGCTGAAACAAAGCTAAAATTATCCTGGTAACAAGAAGTGAGATTTCATCACCAAAATTAAAAAAAAAAATTGTCGCTAATCGAAAGGGCACCCAATTCTACTACTTTTAAAGAAAAGTGCATTTAAGCACATCTCAGGAGAATTTTGCTTTTATCATGTTGATTTTTATCAGGAAAATTTTCTAGTTTTGAGGTGATTTCCTAAGATATACACTGACTACCAATAAGTATTTGGACACCTATGCAAATGATGATATCTGCGGTCCTAAGGTACGTCACGGACTCTGCCGTTATATATCGTGTAGGAAACAGCATCGGCTTTAGTCGCATGCAAGATGCCTCACACTTCGGAGCTCTCTGATTTCGAGAAAGGTATAATTATCAGGTATCGCAAATGTGGTCGATCCTTAAGGGACATATCTAGCGATCTGAAGTACCCAAAATTGACAGTGGCCTATGTGATTAAGAAGTGGAAGGTGAGCGGTGATTGTTGTAATGTGCCCCGAGTCAGCAATCCAATGAAACTGGGAGATAGAGACCGACGAATGCTGTCCAGAGAAATTCGGAAGAACCGCACCCAACGGATGGCCCTTATCTGCGAGGAGTTTCAACAGGCATCCGGGAGTATTGTTTCAATGAATACCATCCGTAAGTAAGAACATCTGCTTGGTTTTCATGGTCGTGCTGCTGCCCATAAGCCTTTGATCACAAAGTCCAACCGCGCTGCTCGGTTAATGTGGTGCAAAGCATATCGAAATTGGACCGTAGATCAGTGGAAACGGGTTCTTTGGAGTGACGAATCAAAGTTCACCCTTTACCGTTCGGATGGCAGGGTCTGGGTCTGGCGTCTACCTGGAGAACGTCTCCTGCCAAAATGCATTCTGCCAACAGTCAGGTTCGGCGGAGGTGCAATTATGGTCTGGGGGTGTTTCTCCTGGTATGGGCAGGGACCTTTGGTCCCCATTCATGATAAGCTCAACTCCGATGCCTTACTGCACTATTTTGGATGACAATGTGCTTCCTACGTTGTGGCAGTTTTACGGGTTGGACCCCTGTTACTTTCAGGACGACAATGCCAGTTGTCATGTTTGGACATTAATGAAGGCTTGGTATTGTGCCAATGGATTTCATCGAATGGACTGGCCTGCCCAGAGTCCAGACCTGAACCCTATCGAGAGCCTCTGGGACGAGTTGCATCGCCGAATTCAGGGATGCACTACCCGTGCAAAATCGGTGAAGGAACTTCTATGTCTTCTCCAAGCCGAGTGGAAGAAAATATCACTAGCTGTCATATAAAGACTTGTGGAAAGTATGCCCCAGAGAGTCCATGCTGTAATTACCTCTTGTGGAGGCTCTACCAACTATTGATTTTGAATAAAGTTAGTTTTTCTTTTCTATCACAGGTGTCCAAATACTTATTGGTAGTCAGTGTATTTTACTATTGGAATATGAGATAGTCTATAGGAAGATTATTTATGTGGTATTTAGCAAATAACATTTATGCGTGATTCTAATATATTGTATATGATGACCGTTTTTAGAAATAATTTATCTTAATGAAAAGTCAACATTGTACCATGTTCTAGTTAGATGTGGCCTATTGGCATGCAATTTTGACATAAATAATAGCTTTTACTCTAAATTTCTGTTGTAGCTTACTAAGGCAAAATTACTGAGTGATGAAAATTTGTTTTAAATTTTTAAATAGCAGAAATCGTATATAGTATTAAAATTTTATTGTTTGCAGTGGAAGAACGTGTTATTAATGAAGAATATAAGATATGGAAAAAAAATACTCCATTTCTGTACGACTTGGTAATGACTCATGCTTTGGAATGGCCGAGTTTAACAGCTCAGTGGCTACCTGATGTTACAAAGTAAAGATGCTTTTTATTGTCAAATTTTTCTGTTATTACTTATTAATATTTTTTTCTGCTTTTAGTTGAGATAGATGAATTTGGTAATTATTGTTTTTCTTTCCAGTACCTCCCCAGTGAAACTATTTATTATGCAAAATTTCCAGTATTAAAAAAAAATATTTATATTTCTTGCCATTTAATTAATTGTTTATAAATTGTAAAAATTAGTGTTTCAACAATACAGGTATTGTTTCTCTGTACTTAGCAATATATTGTATAATGATGTTTTGAAATGTTGTAAAGGTTAGATATTGCTCAGTATCAATCTTTCGATTCTCAAACTGATCAGCAATTTTTCTGTAATTATTCCTTTTTATTGAAGTATGATGATTTTTATCTGTATATTTCAACAGATATATAAACTGAATATTAATAAAGCTAAAAGCATGTTTGTAAAGTCGCTAATTTTCCTGAATTGTATTCAATGAATGCAACTCTTGTTAATTTTTCAGGCCAGAAGGCAAAGATTATTCCATTCATCGGCTTATCTTAGGAACACACACGTAAGCATCTTTCTTCATAAATATATTTTTTTTAAAGTTATGAGACTATAAGTAAGCATACAAATTGTCATAATTAGTATGAATTATAAAAAAATTCTCGTAAATATATTATTAGTTCTTTATGCATTTTTAACTCGTCTTTATTCGAGGATTGTGATATCACTGCAATGATTATGCGTATAGTTCAAACATTTTTAAATCTTAGCAGTGATTCTATAAGGTATCCCATACCTTTTTATTTGATTGTGATACTGCTTTTCATCCTTGAAAGCAGAAGACAGTTGCTTTTAATAAGACAGTTGACAGCTGCAGAAGACAGTTGCTTTGGTGCTTTGTAATAAACAATTCTCTTATTTGGTAATTTAACATAAATAAAGCTGTCAGAATTATGATGGCTTAATGTGTCATTATGTAGTTTATGTAAATTTGTATGTAGAACATTGACATAAGAACATGTTAAAAATATTTTACTGACATAGTAGGATAATAATGAGTTACACATTGATTCAAAGTATGAAAGTATGATTGATGGAATCAGTTTGAAACAACAGTCCTGTGACAAAGATTTAAAATTAATGTCAAATATATATTTTAATAAATATCTTAAATATTAATATTTCTTATATGTTAGCAATTCATATTTAATATTGAATAAACATAAAAAGTCTAATTTTTACTGTAGAGGGATTCTGCTAAAGACTCGAAGAAAAAGAATGAATGCAACTCTGGCAGAATTAGAAACCCAAAATTCCTTAATTTTGCATAAATTTATTAAAAGATTATGCAAAATGTGGTAATCGTCTGTTAATCGGGACTGGATTCAGAAATGTATGTATGCATGCATGTGTATATGGATGTATGTGTTCGTGCATGCATGTATATAAGTACATGCATGTATATGTGTGTATATACGCACATACATTTCTGAATCGGTTTTTGATAGAAGAAGGGCACCAAAAATGCAAATAATACATAAAAATTTGTGCTAATTTTAATCTTTAAACTGATATGTATACTTGCGAAATTTTGCCAAGGAGCAAGTATTTAATCCAAGTTAAATGAAAGGAAGATCTCACAATGACTTGGTTACAAGCAAACAAAAGCTCAACAGGTATTAAAGAAAAATCTATTTAAGTGTTTAAATGGAAAATTACTAATAATTTTTCTGTGAACTGGCACTTTTGTATCTGCTTTCGTGCGTTTAGGCAATATTAGAGTGCCAAGTAAATTGTGCTCACAGATGTCTCTTTAAATAAAAATGTAATTTAATCTGCTTCGACTGCCAAGTGTTCTCTTCAGTACGGATCTTTGCTCTACGCCAAGCAACATTTGCTACATCATTTTTACATATGTACTAATTTCCTTGTATGTTGCAACAAAATAGTAATTTTATTGTGTAATAATGGTGTTTTGGTATATTATACTTTATATTGAAAGCTACTGATCAATAGGCGGAATTTAAAATTGCTGTTGCACCACTATATCAGCATCATAAAAACCTGGTAAGGAAGTGACCTTTGTGATGCTTTTCATTTATACCATCTAGTAAATGGTTTTGACAAATACTTTATTTTTTACTTCAACATAATTTATATTTTTACTTTGCTGATTTTCTTCCATGTACTTACAGGTCTGATGAGCAGAACCATTTACTGATAGCAAGTGTTCAGTTACCCAGTGAAGATGCTCAGTTTGATGCCTCACATTATGATAGTGAAAAAGGAGGTAATGTATATGGAAAATAACTGTATTTGAATTGTTTAGTTGAGTATTTTCTCAGACTGCTGTTATACGTTGCTAAGCAGTGATTTTTTTATTTGGGCTGATTGATTTCTTTTCTTTAGAATTCGGAGGCTTTGGATCAGTGAGTGGAAAAATTGAAATAGAAATCAAAATTAATCATGAAGGCGAGGTTAATCGTGCTCGGTTTATGCCTCAAAATCCCTGCATTATTGCTACTAAAACACCATCAAGTGATGTTTTAATTTTTGATTATACGAAACATCCATCAAAACCAGGTAAAGGAATAACATTTTGTTTGTTTCCTTAACTTCAGAATGCTTATTTTGTTTTGAAAAAAGGAAGTCAAGAGCAGTATTTATTTTAGTTGAAGTTGATTAAAGTTATTTAGTTTATTAAAATTTGTTTAACAGTTTAGTTTTTAAAAATGTTTAGCAGTTGTCTAAAATGTACACATTCACATATATTTTAATTGCACAAATTTTAGAACCATTTAAGTCACTTAGACATGAAGTATAAGGGATTAAAAATTAAGTTTTTAATAATTTATAAAATTGCATGTTAGGTTGCCATTGCTAATATCTGAATGATTCCTAAAATTTTGTGACTTGCTTCATATAATTATTTCTGAAATGAATGTAAACCTTTCTACAATGAAAGAAATATGTAAAATTTTAACATTATCATGTGCTTGTCTGATATTAGCTAAGTTCTGGAATTTAAATTTTCATTATTTTTTAGCTTAAGTGTAGTTTGTTTGTTGTACAACAAGGATTTAATTTTAAGTTTATTACAAATGGAATTAGCTTCCAGTGTGTTAATCTTTAACCACCGTATTTTTTCTTCTGTCTTTTGTGTTATCAAAGCTTAACTTAAATATTCAGCAAGTTTAAAAATTTGCTTCTGTATGAAATGAGTAGTTTAAAGTTTGTGGCTTCATTTTCGAACTCTTTAACTTGAACTTTACTTTTTAGATCCAAGTGGGGAATGTACTCCAGATCTCCGTTTGCGTGGCCATCAAAAGGAAGGGTAAGCAATTTGTAGTACATTAGCATGCAAATCTTCGATTTTATTTAACTACTAACATTACTGTATTATATTTTCTACAGTAAGGCCTTCATTGTTGAAAGAACTGAGCGTCTTACCACATAACTTAACCCCTTAATGATCAGATAATTTTCAAGAAAACTGTCATACAAGTGCCTATTTTTTTATTGAAGAAAATTGTACAAAAATAAGTGTATGTACATTATATGTGCTCATTTGTAATTTCTGGAATTTTTTTAGCTTTAAATTAAAAAAAAAAATAATTTTAGGAAAAGCCAACATTCAGGGTTATTGTGACTGAATGTTGGTTTCCCAGTAAGCCAGAAAAAATTTAAGACATATGTGTTTTAAACATTAGAAAAGAATTTTATTACACCTATGCATAATATAAGTGAAGATTAGTAATTTTTTCTTATGTGATAAATTTCAAAGCATGAGATGCAAAGACCAACATCGTAATCGGGACAGTAGTACAGAGTTTCCTTCTACATCTCTTGTTCTTTTCATTTCTTCTGGAACAACAAACTTTACATTCTGTTGATGGTTGCTGTTTCTTATCAGTTGGGGGGTATCTGTCTAATAAAATGCCTTCCAATCAAACGGTTTGGATTATCCTCCAAGCTTGGCTGGCCTCATTTTGGAATGGTGTTTGATGACTGATACATTTCAATAAGTTCATCTACTAAAGATAAACGAAATATCAAATAGGATTTTTCCCACCTTGTTTTTTTGTAAATAAAATAGGAGTTCAAAATAGTTGGATAGTACCCATAAGCATAGATGCATTTCCCCACATTCTCCTTAAAATCTGGGGGAAAAGAAAACATTGAGCTGGATGCATTTCCCCACATTCCAATAACTAAAAACGCAAAGAATAAAAAAATAGAAAAGAAAGAGAAAGAAATTCCTAACGAAATAAACATGCCAGTATCCCTTTAATTTAAAGAGTTGTGATTCCAAGTTTGTTTATATATCAAAACCAGAAGCACAGAACAGAAACTCATACTCATGCATGAAGGTCAAAAGCCACGTGACTTAACCAATGTGAAAACCGTTACCATTTAGCACCATCTAACTGGCATTAAAAATTCAAATAAATCATTCAGTTTTCAAGTTACGTATATGCGACGCTGGGCTGTAGAGATTGATCGAAGCTCTTCGTGTATACTCTATGCTGGGCTGGTAAGAGTGGAATCGTTGCATCGCGTATACGAGACGCTGGTCCTGAACGGATTAATGAAGTTTGTTGCAATTTCATTTTCTTGTAAAATTTTTTTTAAAGAAGTAGAATCTCTTGCTGTTAAATTTTGGTGCAGACTTTAGTTCTGCCAATTTGATAAAAAGTTTTAATTGTTGAAAAATTAAATTCCCTTGTTTTATCTTAAAGTCTCACTTTATGCTAAGATTCTTAATTGCTCTAGTTAAATTTTTAACAATTTGGCTAGGTGTTGCTTACTTCAATAAACCTATTATTATGAATGTAATAATAATATCAATATATCTGAATGGGCAAGCAAATTTATTGAAGCCATCTTCTGAAAGGTTTTTAAGAAACTTCTGCTCTTTAGAAAATAAACAGAGGTTACATAAGTGAGTTGAATAAGAACTTCCCATATGAATACCATTTGTTTACAGGCAAGATTTGTTTGTGGGCTTGATAAAGTTATTAAAAAGTGAGAAATAATCTTTCAATTTTCATAAATCTAATATAATAAGCATTTCAGAAAAAAATTTGGAAGTTCAAGAAGACTTCCATAGATTTCTAAGCAGAAGTAATTTTTAAGTGGAAGAGATTTGTAGAGTTTCAAAGTCATAGCAGTTGATATTGTAAACATTTAAATTGTTGATTTTTTTTTCAGTTATATGCATTTTGTTAATAATCCAACAGTATTGCTTTTCAGTATTAGTTTTATCAAAAAATAAATTACATATTGATTTAAACTGCCTTGTAAATTCATTATCAAAAATCTTGTAGTTTTCTGTATTCTATTCTTGTAGTACTATTTGCTATAAATATGATAGGATTTTTATGAACTTTTGGAATTGCATATGAATTGGCAAATCTATTGTTCGCAGTATAAAGAGAAATTTTCTAATTTATTTATTTTTTTTTTTTGTGAAAAGCATAAATTTTATTGATTATTGACCTTTCTTTATTTTTTCAAATACAGTAGGTAGTTGAATTGTCCAGCTTCTTTTCAAGAAGAGAATTATAAAACGTTTTTCATAAAACGCTAAAATAGTTGCATTTTTTTTTTATCAGTTTGGGTAGTTGTAATTTGCTTTTACAGTTGCAAAAACTTCTGAAATAAATCTTTCCAGTTTTTAATTCCTTTAAAATCTTGAAATTTAATAGAATGCAGATCAGTGAAGAGATCTTTTAACAAGCAAAAGAAAGAGGGGGAAAAAAAAAAGGCATAATTGGATTGCTAATATGTATAGTAAAATTTTGCATTTGATTGGTTAAGAACTACACAATGCAGAAAGTTAAGATATAATGCAAAATGAATTTTGGGATATGACACAATTTAAGTTATTACTGTTTTTAGAATAGAGAGGGAGAAGTACCCAAATTCAAAAGAGAATTAAGGGACTGTTGCTAATTTAAAGAATAAATCACAGTTTCATATTTTTTATCTTACATATTCCCTCCTTTAAAGAGAAAAAGGCTCGGCAATAGGAAAGCATTTTGAGAAAAAAGCATTAGATCAGTAGCAAAGGGAGGGAAATTTTATCTAAAATAGGCAACTCCAATGAATTGTTTCAAAATGTAATTTAGAAATATTAGAACAATACATGATATAATCTGTAAATTAAATTCGCGTGCAATGTGAAAGTTCTTGTGGAAATGTAGCTTGAAAATTAATAAATTTTATAGTTTTTTTAAAGTCTTTCCCAAAGAAATGAGTGTCGCAATCAGTTTAAAATCAAAACATTTCAAATATGTAGCCATGAATTTCTAGTAAAATTGGTACTTATTTACGCATTATAAAACAAAATCACATGCTCTTATTATGCAGTAATGTAAGAATTAATACACAAAAACCAAGAAGATACAATATGATAATGTAGTAAACTTTGATGAAAAATAACAGGCAGAAGCAAATCAGCATAACTGCCTGCTGATGGTTGTGGAATACTTAAATACAATTGATGCAAAAACCTCCGTTTCTAATGGGTTTTAACATTGTTTAAAGTTTTTATTTATTTTTATGGTTGAATAATTTTTTATAATATGTACTTGTAATAATAATAAAAATATATGTATACAAAATTTAAAATTCAGATTAAGACAAATAACTTAAAATTATTGCTGTGGGATAACGTAAAAATTCTATTTACTAAATTTCTAAGAATCTCAAGTTATTCTTAGAAATTTAGTAAATAGAATTTTTACATTATCCCACAGTAATAATTTTAATAATGAAAAAAATTTAATGCTTGTTATGTGTGAATAGTATATGCAGTAGCACATTGTGCAGAAACTATGGCCAGAGGAAGGTGACTAATGAAAAATATGAATACTCAGACTAACAGAGGAGCGAAACTAACAGAAACTTAGAATTAAAATCGCATAAGTAAATTTAGAATTTTCATATTAGGGAAGGCCTTTTAAAATTTTCCACACAATATTATAAAAATCTTGAATACATCGATTAATTATTTTACATGATAACAAAAAATTTCAAGATTTTATAACTAACTGTCATTCCATTTAACATAATTTTGAAGTAACTTTGCTGAAATTATGCTATTTATTATTATTACTAAGACAAGACTAATTTACTTATTTATAAAACCGGAAGACTCCATAGCTTCTCTGTATCCATCTTATGAGCAAATTCACTTCAACAGAGTGTTGTTTTGAACCAAGGAGGGCTAAATAGTAACTTTTAAAAGGCCTTCATTTCTGGTTTTATATAAGTGTCTGACTAATGAAGACATCAATTATTTTGCAATCACGCGTGGATTGAGGTTAGAAGATCACTGAAGTATCAAATACGCAGTAGAAGATTCTGGGAACTTTTGAAGAATTACAAAAATCACTTGATAATCCAAACATATCTTTATCACTTGTTGATTACTCTATGACATGGCATATCAGAATGGGGAATTCTGCATCCCACTATTTTGATTATGATGTATTGCATTTTAACAATGAATGGAAACAGCCAAGCAAGAGATGTTTTTTAGCTACTAAGTGCAGGCAGTAAAAGAGAAGGTGTAGTTAATAACAGTACTGTATATAAGCTTGGTCATTCTTTTAGTTCTCGATAGTGATTGGACCAAAGTTTACAGCAATGCAGATACTCCATAGAAATCACAGATGCCTTGAAGGGTATGTGCTTTAAATGAAAATTAGTAATTTAAAGGTCTGTTATCAATTTATTCTATTAAAACTTGAATTTGGTAATAAATTTTTCTTCATATTTTGATATTTTGCATATTTCATGTGATGTATGTATTTGTGGATAACGTGACATTAGATGATAGTTTGATTAGAAGCAGCACCGATTCACTTTTAGATCACAGTCAATATAACTTAAAAGTAATAGTTGTAATGGATTGTCAGTGGTTTATTATGTAGATAGACATGGCTGAATTCAGCATAATTTTATTTTTGAATAAAATTGTTCAGGAGACAGTATTTATTTTGCACATGGTTATGGATGCAGTAGATACCCTACAATTGTGTATATATAGTTGCACTATAGAATAAGGGAAATTGCAGTCTTATTTACAGCAAATTGTGTTTTGTTTATCTGATCGACTAACAACTATACACAATGCAAAAGGTTGAGATGATATAATGCGGAATTAATTTCAGTTTCGGAAAAGTTATAACTAATTTTGGAATAGAGGGGGAAGTGTCCAAATTAAAAAAAAAAAAAAAAGGAATTACAGGGCTACAGTTAATTTAAGGTGTATTTCAGAATTACATATTTTTCATCTTATGTATGTATACATATATATAGAGAGATTATTTGCATACATGTATATATATATATTATATAAAAATTTTATTTAGCTATGGATTGTCATGGAATCCAAACTTAAATGGGCATTTGTTGAGTGCTTCCGATGATCATGTGAGTAAGCTGCTGTTTTATGATTTTCCCCCTGATTATTTCTTTTAAAGCAGTGTTAAAATATAAAATATTCAAGAAATTTCCTTTTTTTTAAAGAAATATCTTTATAAATTTTCAGACAATTTGCTTATGGGACATCAATGCTACACCAAGAGAAAACAAAGTTGTTGATGCAAAAACTATTTTTACTGGTCATACTGCTGTTGTCGAGGTCAGTATATATTTTTGCTAAGCTTGTAAAGTATATTTTTTCACACTTTACTGCATGCCTTCGTGGTGTAATTTCTAAGCACATCTGGCTAGCAGTCAGAAGGTTCAGAGTTAGTGCCCTGGCAAGAGCATTGGCACATTTTTTGCATTTCCTCTTCCAAAAAAGTCCTAATAATTCTACAAGTAGCACCTGAGACCCCCCTTGAAAAGGTAATGTACGATTCTTCATCACCAGCAGAATTTGGAAATTATTGAGTCTTGTCCTCCACAATTGCCCTTTAGAGAGAGAGAGTATGTAAAGTATTTTCTCTCTCATCTAAAAATGCTGTTTCTGATTTCTATGAGCTAGTAGCTCTTTGGAATTCTTTAGCAACCAGTTTTCCCAAACTCCCACACCTGGAATCCAGTTGTTTTAATGTTTTTTGTTACCCATTAAAAGTGTTTATTGTCTTATTGATAAATTAGCTTGAATATTTTCCCTTTATTTTGAAAATGAGGAAAATTTAAAACAAAAAAAATTATGTGAAGTATAATGCTATTTCTCTTTAACTAGAACTTTCAGATAAAAAGATGGAAACATTATTCTTAAATATAGTTTGATGTATAATTGGTTTCTGTATTTGTTTCTGAGAAAAACAAATGCCGAGAAGGATTTCTTATTTGTATATTGTAAGAAAAGGCATTACAAACTTAATTGCCTAACTAGAACTTTCAGATAAAAAGATGGAAACATTATTCTTAAAAATAGTTCGATATATAATTAGTTTCTGTATTTGTTTCTGAGAAAAACAAATACCGAGAAGGATTTCTTATTTGTATATTCTAAGAAAAGGCATTACAAACTTAATTGCCATTTGTGGCAAAAATGAGCACTCTTGATGACAAAATAGCTAAAAATCTATTAGTGGTATTTTGTCGAAGCTGTCTTTGAGCTCTGTCATTAGAAGTTCAATTATGGAATCAATATCTGACTCAAAAAATCCTGTCTCTGATTTTGTATTAATAGTGAAAGAATCCATGTTGCTATGAATTCGAGAGAAATATTCTTTCAGATTTGTCTATCCTATCAAACATTCCTTGATAACAACTGAAATTTCATCAGGCATGGAATTAATATTATATTCTTTTCATATTTTAATTAGCTTCATAAAAGCATTATTATTTCCTGCTTGCATATGAAAATTCAGGAAACTGAACTTTTTCATTGCAGCTTCCGTCTTTTTTTGCACTTTAAATCCAGTTACACTGTTCCCTCGTAATGAAACATATAATTTATTTTAAAAACCTAAAATAATACTTTTCCATTTTGCCGGCGCAAACCTCGCCAAGCAGACTTTGTTGGCGACAGCATACAGTATACGCATAAAAAAAATTTTTTTAAAGAATTTTTTATTTTGAAGGCATAACCATATTAATATGATTTCAAATTTTGTATAAAGCCAATAAATAAAAACAGTAAATTTGTAAAAAACATTAATTTAAGAATTTACTATGCTTTCATGGTTCAACATCCTGATTTGCCGGTTCGTATCACATGACCCAAAGTCATCTCATCTCACGTAAACTACGCTACAAAAATATAATTCTCTCTAATATCTACATTAATTTCAAGTTAATTTGGAATACAAGTTTAAATGCAAGAATTATTTCAATTCGTACGAATAGCTTACTCAGAAATTATGTAAAACCACATTGCTTTACTTTGTGCATTCTTATTAGAATTGATGGATTTAACCCTTAATTTTGCCTTTCCTATAGTTTCGCCTTCAGGTGAGCAGTGTGATTGTATCCTAATTGGCTTAATTACCGCAAATGGTCTTAGGGTGTAAAATTTAACTATCTTTTGTAAAAATTCTATGTAACTGTATGCCAGTATTGAAAGAAACAATCAATCTGATAAGAAATGATTGCAACTTGTTTTGAAAATGAAGCGTAAAAGGTTACCAGCGAAGATATTCCGTTTGGCATCAGTTGTAACATTATTGGCGACTTTGTCATTTGCGCCGGCAAAACGGAAAAGTGTACCCTAAAATGTCGGAAAGATAAGATAACCTCATCAACATCACCAAAACTATTTTTAAATTCAGTTATTGTATATTTAGCTATTGGAGTTGGTTTAATAACTTCTGTCATTTCCAAAAATTTCTTTAAAACATTTCATCTGAATAACCTCTGTACTTTGCAATGTAAAGGAAGTTGTTGCTGCATACTTCCCATCTTTACATAATGCACTAAATAACCTGGTATTCAAGGAATTATGTGTTATAAAATTAGTAAATTTTATATACCTTTGCATAGTAGTTTATAAAGTATGTCATTTTTTATGGTTAAGGTTTTTCTATGTATACTCCAATGCAACCATACACATTCTAGTGCCATTGCCTTTATTTTTGGAAAAAGATCTATATAAACTTTCATGGTGTACACTGTTTTTGTATTCAGTGGTTTGCAAAATAGAAATTCTTCATTAGATGTACTCTAAAAATTGGTTCTCTGTCAGATAACCCACTGGACGAAAGTGCATGTGACAAAAGCCGACACGAAAAACCTCACTTTGATACTTGCCCACGTGTCAAATACCCATATAAACAAAAGAACACAGGGTTTTTGTCACTATAAAATGTATTTATAATTGTAATAAGTTGAGGATCTGATTTTTAATGTTTTTCAAATATGTTTGTTTGTATATTTTGTCATTACTTTATTTGCTTATTTTTATTAAGTATAAAAAAATTTCCTCTCTGATTAAGTGATTAGCTGTAATTGTTTCTATGATAAATCTGAAAATATATATTATTTATTTTTGGGTATGCTATGTGAAAATGAAAATTATATTTGTTGATAGACTATTATATTTTTCATGTTAAAGTAATATGTAAGTTAGTAATTTCATTCTCTGCGACCCTGCATTTTACTGATCATGAAGCATTTGAGAAGTGCTGTTCTAGAGCAATAAGATTTTTTTCTTGTTAATTCTCTGAGCGACATGGACGGCTTTATCTGGTCGTGAGATTTTTTATCACTTGATCTACATTAGCTGCTTATAGTTTAATGTATTTTGCTTTCTTTCTTACTTTAACAATGTTAATGTCATCTTAATGATTGTAAGTTTATGAAAATGGAGACTAAAATAAGTAATTATAAAAATTTAGGTAATAAATGCAAAAATACAAGTCTACCAAGACTTGTATTTTTGATCTAAAAACTCATGTTGCTCAAAGTGTTAATTTTGAGGAGGGAGGATAATGCTGTCTTTTTATTTATTATTTCACTGCCATTTTCAGACTAATTAAACCAAAAGCATTTGTGCATTGCAAGCCTCTCTTTTTGTTTTCTTTTTTTAAGGCCTGGAGGGCTATTAATTTTAAATCTGCGTTTTGCATCGATTTTAAACTGCTGCCACCAAATATTATCACTATGTAGTATATTTAAAGAAACTAAATAATGAAGAATCTGCATGATTGCACAGATGTTTCTCGCATTGTTACGAAACAACAGTACCTAAAGCCATCAAATTTTGAATAACGTAGTCTTCCAACTGAACATGGCCACTTGGAAATTGAATTTCGAATTTGTTTTATTATCTATTTAAAATTTGGTAAAACTTATTTAATCAAGCGTTTATTAAGATTGCCAAAACTGAAGCAAAAGCAATCTTATTATTTTCAAGCATGCCGTATTTTGCTAAAAATCCCAAGTATTCCAGTTTCGATGCAGTGAAAACTATAGGTGTTAGAAGATAGCCTATTGGAATGTGATGTCAATAACGGCAAATGAAATGTTAGAATAAGAACTCAAACTGATTTGAGACATGTTACTTGCTTCTTATTAACAAAATTCATATGGAGGCAGAGATGAAACTAAAAATAATAATCATGCTTTTTCCAAAAACAGTACATGCAACAAATAATAATAATAATATAAATAAAATAAACTGTATTCAAACTTGACTTTTTGACCTCAAAAATGCATTTTGTCAAAAAGTGCCGAAATTTTGTTAGTCTAAATTTGTTCTACTTATGACTGATGGTTAATACACAAGTACCATATTTTGTTTAGACAGTATTAAAGTTAAATGGTTATTAGAGTAAGGCAAAGCATAGTCTTACTATGCTTTGCTATGATGTATGCCTTATAAGAGAGTTCATTCAAAAATTATATTTGTGTTTCATATTGGGAAAGGAGTTCGGTATTCAAGAATATCCATTCACTTGGAGATTGCAAGCTTTAAAATCAGACTATCAAATTTTGTATGCTTATATTTGTGTGGAAATATATGCCTGTTAAGAAATATTCTGAGATTAAGAACAAGAAATTATTAACCCACTTTTCTCTAGACCGATATTACATCTGTGAGAAATGAAAAGTCCCTATTTTGATGGAGAACAATATGGGTTTCTAGTGTCTTCGCACTCTTATTCCTTACCAATAGTCCTCTTGAGAACAGTTTGGCCTGCCAGTATTTTAAGCAATGCCATGCTGCATAGACATTTTGGGTGTGATATAAAATCATATTGCATAAGTGTGATATAAAATCATATTGCATAAATTGCATGAGTGTCTAAACTTTGTGATTTGAATGCACGCCCAATGATGTGGCAGCACTAGCTACTATACTGATTGGGCGATTTTCTTAGTATAATTGTTGAGAAACTTACAAAATGAAATTCATCAAAGAAAATAGAATTTTATTTAATTAATTATTAATCATTTCACAAGAAAATAATAAATTAAATTAAATTTAAATAATTCTCTTGCACCATTGCTGCAAGGAATGAAATTTGAACTTGACAAATATTCTCTATTCGTATAAAACAAATACATTCAAAAGTCTTTAATTCGGACTCGTCGGGACTTTGGCGATCCCGGATTATAGATCATCAGTTTAAATCTGTTAAGATGGCATGCTGAAATTATAAAATTAAAAATATGAAACCATAATTTATGAAATAAAGAGCAATTATGATCTAAAGAGTATACAAAATTTACAAAAAAAAAAAA